GCCGAAGGACAAGGATGGCTCTGGCGCCGAAGGTGAGGCGGGCTTGCGACCGAGCGGCCCGAGGCCGGCGGTGGGGCTTTCTGCCGGGGACTTGGAGCGACTGCTCGTGCTGTCGGCTCCAAATCCGAAAGTTGCCGTGGTGCCAAGAGGGTTTAGCGGACCTGGGGACGGCGGCCTGGCTCGCAAGCTGTCGACTGGCCCTAATCCGAGATGCTTGGACGCTGGGCTTTCTGGGGCTGGTGACTTGGAGCGGCCGCGAAGAGTATCCACAGGCCCAAGCCCTGGGCTTGGGGATGGTGATCTGCCTTGCAGACTGTTGACTGGTCCCAATCCTAGGTGCTTGGACGCTGGGCTTTCTGGGGCTGGCGACTTGGAGCGGCCGCGAAGAGTATCCACAGGCCCAAGCCCTGGGCTTGGGGATGGTGATCTGCCTTGCAGACTATTGACTGGTCCCAATCCTAGGTGCTTGGACGCTGGGCTTTCTGGGGCTGGTGACTTGGAGCGGCCGCGAAGAGTATCCACAGGCCCAAGCCCTGGGCTTGGGGATGGTGATCTGCCTTGCAGACTGTTGACTGGTCCCAATCCTAGGTGCTTGGACGCTGGGCTTTCTGGGGCTGGTGACTTGGAGCGGCCGCGAAGAGTATCCACAGGCCCAAGCCCTGGGCTTGGTGACGGTGCTCTGCCTTGCAAGCTGTCGACTGGCCCTAATCCGAGATGCTTGGACGCTGGGCCTTCTGGGGCTGGTGACTTGGAGCGGCCGCGAAGAGTATCCACAGGCCCAAGCCCTGGGCTTGGGGACGGTGATCTGCCTTGCAGACTGTTGACTGGTCCCAATCCTAGGTGCTTGGACGCTGGGCTTTCTGGGGCTGGCGACTTGGAGCGGCCGTGATTACCATGGCGGGTGCTTCCCGTCGCAGCTCTTTCTTCAAATCCATCCTCAGTGTCCACGCTTCGGAATCAGAGACTTGCATTGTAAAATGGAGTTCTTGTAGCTTTTGACCAAGCCAAATAATCATGCATTCGTGAAACAATTGCCAAGGTCAACCACCATGACACCAACACAAGTGGACAACAAGTTGATAAGCCATGTCAAACAGTCAATGCGAAAAACCAGAGTACAGGCAACATAGTGAAGCCACATAAGCGTCTGTGGGTGTTTGCTCTTGAAACCCCAACGAAGCTCCTATTTCGGCACATGTTGGCCTCGGACTCAGCACCCCAATGATGTAGCTGAAAAACAAAAACAGCTGACAACACCTGCCCTGGAAGATACCTCAAGACAAGGGCTGGTAAAAAGCCGCCCATGAGCTTATCTGGACTAGAGGTAATGCAACAAACCTCCTCCCTGAACGCTGCGCCTGATCTGCGTGGCAAACAATTAAAAAGACATGCAGCAATTGTGCTTGAAAGTCCAACGACTTGCACACCCCAACCGGACACTCCAAAGTCAGTTGTTGTAAATGAGCTAGCATACATCTCTATTGTATGTATGTATGTATGTATGTATGTATGTATGTATGTATGTATGTATGTATGTATGTATGTATGTATGTATGTATGTATGTATGTATGTATGTATGTATGTATGTATGTATGTATGTATGTATGTATGTATGTATGTATGTATGTATGTATGTATGTATGTATGTATGTATGTATGTATGTATGTATGTATGTATGTATGTATGTATGTATGTATGTATGTATGTATGTATGTGTGTGTGTGTATGTATGTATGTATGTATGTGTATATATATATATGGATAACACAACCCTTATATATTAAACCTGCAAACTGAAAGCAAACATACTGTAGGTTCATTTCGGATATGTAACAGGACCTCAGCGTTGTTGGGGAATAGCCCTTGTGATGCCAAACAGGACCATCTTCTCCTGTCATTTCACAAGGGGGGTGACCTCGGTACGGAAAGTTGCAACCTTCCTGATTTGCCAAGCACCGCAAATATGGAAAATCCATGCTGGGCCGCTTCTTACCAAGAATTTGTCTAGGCTGCAAATCAAACGGACCCAACAAGGGGTGCCCCAACAGGTGGCTCCTCCGAACATCAACGGTGTGTTTCCCCTTTCAGTCTGCCGGAAAATGACGGCAGATTGGTAACCGACTTACTTCCTGAGTGGATTGTCCGACCAACACTAAACTGGTCCAGACCCGAGGTGAAGTCCAACCAACTTCGCCTGTCGTTCACTTGACCGCTCAGCCTTGTTCAGCTCGAGCCGATCGACCCCCGCGATCTCCTTTTGCGTCTGAGTGGCGCGAGATCTGTGGCCTGTCCGGAACGGGTCGGAGACAGAGACACCTCCCCAGCGCATTGACTGACCAGCCGAAAATCAAGCGGAAGTGAGTGGGCTCACAGACTGAGTACGTGAGCCAAAAAAAACACTGGGAGGTGATCAAGCGAAAATCAAGCAAGTGAGCCAAAAAAACACACACACACACACACTGGGTACCACTTCAGCTTGCTCTTCGGATCCTTAAGGCCATGTCAAGCGTTGGCCATCTGGTCACCGTCCGGCCCGTCCGAACGCTGGCCTGCATCTAACTCCGACTCGGGATCCATCTGGCCGGATGCGCACGTCGCTGTACTGTGTATACACTCTCTCGGGCTAACATGGGTTTTTCCCAGAATGCCTCTGTAATATATGGCCCGTCCAAAAAAAAGGTGGCTTCCAATTGTTTTCCCTTTAACCCCAGAAAGGGTACCAACAAGAAAAGGCACACCCGATGCCAACAATGTTTGCAACAAAAGAGAACACAAATCATGGGGTTCCGCACTGACTTTTGCCCGGAGGTTGCACTGTCCCGCTCTTCAAAGGGGCTTGGTGACATCACGTTCAGACGAGTTTGGCATTTCGGACGACAAAAGCAGCTTTACATAGCTGACTGAGGGCATGTCAACCGGAACAGTACTGCTCTCACCTTCCAATTGGATAGCAACATGCAACAGCCTCTTCCTCAGAACATGTAAGGCGTAGGTCCCAGACATTGTTTCCCAAAGGAAACACGTATGGGTCTTTATCAAAATTAGGGACCCCTTTGAGTGCTTGGTTTTCTTTTGCTTGCCCCAGATCATGCAAACATGAGATCCCTACTTAGAGAACCTAGGCAGGGCCCGTGGGAAGTACGTAAAGATATGGCAGCTTGAGACCCATTGCACCAAAGGGCAAAGAGAAAAAGAGAGAGAGAGAGAGAGAGAGAGAGAGCGAGAGGGAGGGAGGCAGGGAGGGAGGCAGGGAGGGAGGTAGGGTGGGTGGATTTCTCCCAAGGGCAATTGACATGCCAAGTCCGTATACAGGTTGCGAATCAGTGCCAAAAATCCAAATGGGTGTGTCTTTTCTTGAGGGTACCTCTTTTTCGGCGGTTTTAAAGGAACACCAACAGGAAAACAACAATTGAGTGCTGTGTGGTCTTTCTTCTTTTTTGTTTGGGGTGTCCCCTAAGGTTCAGCGGATTTCGATTTCAACCACTAAACCACGATAAGCAAAAATGTAAAATGTTTCCTAACAACAACCCTGTTTTGAGGCGTTGACCCCAACATGATACCTTTGAGGGCGTCACGAGAAGGCCCGGTTTTGGCAACTCCACACCTTTCCCTCAAGTAGCGTGCAAGCCCAAAACAAATCCGCAAACCCGTCCACGCGTGGGGTATTTGAAAAATGTAACTTGTGTCATTCAGCATTTCAGCGTTGGTTTTGATTCCCTACAAACTTGCCTGGACGTGTTTCATTAATAATGTCCCTCTTTTTACTAAACTCGCGCGTGGCCCAAACAAATCGCCGCTCATTTTCCTGTGGTCCAAAAAAAACGAGAAAAAAAAACTGTTGGTTCATATATCACCTTGGTTGATATCATCTTCTGCACATCGCCTCGAGACGTCGCCGCCGAAACCTGCGAGCCGGTTCCTTCCGGCGAGCTTTGGGATCCGGATCGCTCCCTTGATCCTTCGATCCTCCGACCCCGCCTGCCGGCTGCGCGCGACCATCCTCGGAATGCCGCGATGTTGGAGCTCAAGAACTCTGCGTGAAACAACCCGGCCGCTATAAGATGACTAAGGTGCTTACCATCCTACTATGTTACTATATGTGTATATATGGGCCAGGTGTGTCATGTGCTGAGGCTCGGTAGCCTTTCAAGGGTAGATTTGAAGGGAAACCAAATGGAACACAATCATCTTGTGGGTCCTCTAGAAAAAGACACACCCATGTATTGCCATCTCAGCCCATAAGAAACTGATGGAGCTTCTTCTCTCGTGGGCACAGACTTGTGGGTACCAATATCCTATGGTTGCCTGACACTCACCCCATAGCTCCCGTTGGAAGTCCATGCTAAGAACTTGGTAAGAACTGGCTCCCAAATCTGCAAATGTTGCAATCACTTGACATAAGACTTGGGCAGACTTGGGCCTGTCTTTCTTTTGGGGGGGTAGCATGTTGGGGTGGTGTAAGGCCACCCATAAGCAACGTGGGGGAGCCGATTTCGGGAAGCCAAAAGGAGATGTTGATGAAACGGTTGTTACCAGTGGCAACTGCCTTTCGGACCCTTCCAAAGCACCCCCCCCGATCCCGCGGGTCCCGTTGGCGATCCCTGGGCTCAGAAACTGCAAAGCGAAGCTCGGGGAGACCGGAGACACGACCTGGGTACCCTTCCTTCCAAGACGACGCCTGTGGGAGGGCACCTAGAGTTTGCTAAAGGGACCCATTGTCTCACTGGCTGAGTGGATGGCCCAAAAAAAGCTCAAACTTTATATTTGCCACTAAAATGGTCTTCCCAAAAAGTTTAAAGATCATGAACTCAGGAAGTGAGTTGTCAGGTGCAATGCTAGGAGGGAGGGTATCTGGGTCGGCAAGCTTCCTCTAGACTTGCCCGCAGGTCTCGATTTCATTTCGTCTGTGACTCATCTGGGCCCCGCAACATCGCATTGCTGCCGGCGGAGGTGGGTCGGCTCGGCCTGGCCATTCTAAATGCGCAAACTGCATCCAAA